ATAACACCGAGAGTTTAATATACTCGCTTGAAGGTTGATACTCGTTCGATCCAATAAAGTTATTGTGAAATTATTATTGTTGCGAAGCTATTGTGAATTTAATGTTATTTTGTTTAAGTTAAAATATTATTTTGTTTAATGAGGGGGCCTATGCCAAAATGTTAGTAGAGTATCGGAGCCAGTCAATGTTTAAAAATAAAATTTGGATGCAGAGGAAACTTATCCTTAATTTGATAATTAGACAAGTTGATATTCCGTCACATGTCACTATTTACTTTTAACTATTTGTATTTGACAAGACGTATATGAGTTTAGAATGTCTCCATCGATAAATTTCTCATAATATCTTTCAAAACTGCGTCGCTCTATAGTATTATTTTATTTGTAATAAAAATCGGTTTTTGGTCGTCGGATTCGATTCGTATTAATAACTATTTTGACCGTATCCTCCTGTTTTCTATTTATGCAAGCAGAACTTGTTTATGCTATATATGGCAGAGTCAATCTCGCAAACTATTATTAGGCAAGTAAATATTTAATAAAAATTGTGGTTGCTGATAAATTTATGGTTTTAATTACCACCATTTCTTTGACACTGCCTGACACATGCGATGCGCTCGAACGAATTTATTGAGTCGTCTACATTTGAACATACAATGTCGGCAACTTGTCTCCTATAATATATAGCAACAATGAAAGGTGGTCATTGATAGATCTATTCTGATATCAGAACAATTATTTCTTTCAATATATCAGCATATTTTCTTATAGAAACTTGATAAGCGGCACAGTCGTTGATGAGGACAAAAGAAAATAAGTAAAACTTATCGGAGAAACGTTGGCTAAACCTCGTTTTGTAAGACTCACTGCAAAAAAAAAAAACCAATAAATTGTATTACACAATGCCTACGACACCAAAGATTGTGATAGCTTAATTAACAGTTTGAACTATTGTATTCCCAAGCATATTAATATGCTAATTTTTGTACTAATGCAGGCAGCTATTGCCCCAAGACTAAAAGCTAACATTGTAAGAAAGGCTTATTGTAAACTAATTTTGTCTTATTGAATAAGAAACCATTTAATTAATTTTCAACATATAAAGTTTAAATAGAACATTCTGCAGTAACTTGCTATAAAAGACTAGTGGAGGTGTACCTTTGTTGCACATGCTAAGTAACTACCAGAAAGATAAATAATTTTACAAACGTGGCCGTAAAGAACTTTCGGACAATTAGGTTTTTACGCCTAGTAGCAGCGTACATCGGGTACAAACCATTCGACAAATACCCAGGAAGCCCTACCTTGTTTACGCTGTCTTTTTTTGTTACACGTTTTTAATGTAACGCAACTGCACCTAATATTTGATTTAACCGGTCAATACGCATTACTGCAGTAAAAAAAAAAAGAAAAAAAACTCAGCCTCAATCGTTGAAATGACAAGAGCGTAATATAAAATTATATAAACATTTGCTCGATATAAATTCTCATCTTAATAATATCACTATAGAAATGTTATTGCTATTGTAAAGATTAGTCTGATTAATTATACACATGGCTTATTAGCAGTCGATACCCCCGGGACAATTACAATTTTAACCAGTAAAAAAAGTTTTTACTGCGTTTATTCTGGAACAATCACGATATTAAGTATTTTAAGCAATTTAACAATACCCCATGAAAGATTTGTTATTGGTTGACAATTGCAGATTCTCACACTCCTTGTTGTATATATTTATATTTATAGGTTACGTTCAAAGCAATGAGTAGTACAGATATGTCATGTTTCGTCATCTAACACGCGTCTATTCATATTGTATATATACCCAGATGCCTTTCTCCAACATTGCTTCCCTCGCAACTACCTCAAACTCTCCTCTCTGACACCCACTCCACTCAACATACGACACGAACTGGACATCCGACAAAACGAAGTATTTTGTCACCGTTCCATTTACACACACAACATAAACGGCGAGCAACCTACGTTTTTATCGACGACGGCTATTAATGAAAGAGTCCTACTCACGCATTGCCCAGTATCGACCTTTCTCCTCCAAAGCACAATACAACATAAACTGCAACAAACAATTCTTTACCACTATACCATATTACGCATACGGCAGTTGGTATAACTCATGAGTCTTCTAACAACGACACAGCATCAACGTTAACAGATAAAAGACTTGAAATGCCGTGGCCTGCACTTCGATCCAAGCAAATCTAGCTCTTTTCTTTAGAAGGCTGTATCAATCAATGACAAAATTCGTACTCATGTCCCTGGCACCCATAATCAATGTCATTAACAACAAAGCAAGGCAGTGAACTCATTGAAGTGCCAAATTCTTTGATCCTGGAGACCTAATTGCTAAGCCAGTGTTGCTACCCGCAATCACACCAGTACCAGAAACAGGGAATTACCTTGTCGCTCAAGCGACGAGCGTGCCGAGTGAACGCATATTTTCGATTGCAAAGCATACTGTGCGTAAGGGTTCGATAGGAACCAACGGAATTGTAGAGATTATTGTAAAACGTATTACAATATAGTCCGAACTGTTATTTCTAATTCCACCTCCTCTGATTGGAAAAATAATATCAAAGGCAAAATATTTGCCATTGGTATATTCAAATCCTATTTCAGGGACGTCAACAAAGATAACGAGAAATACTTGTTGGATTACATTCTCGTTTGTTGTGCACAGAAGAAACGAAACCAGCACCAAGAACAACAACCACAAGAAAATAATGAAGACGATCAAAACATTGTAATTGATCAAGAATAGAATCTACGCGTCACCTGTTATCGTTTTTTTTGCGCGATCGTGGACGAGAAAAAAGTGTGTGCGAGTTACTCATTGGCAAAGCCACATTTGCCATCTTCTTATCCCTTCCTCTTCCCCTTATAAAACACATTGCTCGTCTTATATTCTCCACATACCTTTGGACAATATTAATATGGACTTCATATACCTCTTGCACTTTTGGATTCTCCTCCCCATCTATTGTTGTACCTCAGTTGGGAACCTATCATCAGTTCTGGACTAAGTGACTGAGTTCTGAACTGAGACAGGTCCTAAACTCAGACACGTGATAAGATTTCTGAATATTGGAAGGATATTCGAAGCGCCTGCCGGCGTCTGTTATACTCGATCCTAACTTCAAGTTGGAGTGTTATAGTGAAGATATCAAACATTCTGTACATCGTCAAGTACATGACATCTACAAGAGTACCGATGAAAAGACGCATACGTCACACCGCTGATACCCCGAAGGCCACGCGTCCAATGGCCATGACTCCAAAACTTCAGCTTTACAGAAGACACAGACATGGATAAAGATAATGACGAACTCAGCCAATACATCGACTATAATGGAGGACAGGGAGAGCACGCCAGAACTGAGGAACAATCCACAGGATCTAATGCCAGTACTAGAGTTGGATCATCCGGCGGCGCAGTGGAACGAGCCATATTTATCCACGAATCTGACAGCAGCAATAACGGATTCGGAAGATTCATCAGCAATATTGGGGACGATATGGGATCCTATACAACAACAACATGAACGACGACAACACCACCACCTCTTTGTAATAAATATTAAATAAACTACCATCACCGACTATTTCACAAAAAAAAGCCGTTAAAAAAGTCATAGCAAATATCATCGACTTTGTTGATATTATGACCGATGATAACTTTAGCACTATATTCAATCATCCAACAATCCCACCAGATACGCGTCAACATGTAAAGAGTATGTACGATTCTCTCCCTGCCGCCGCCAACAATCAACAGATAAACGAAAACTGTTTTAAAGCGGGCTATTCGGTTATTATGGATTCAAGTACCGCACCATGGACTGATAAACTAAAATATTTTCAACGAGGATGTAGGATATTCTACGAAGTAATCAAACTCGTGGTTGTTATTTATACCATCAAACTTCCCGGACGGGATGGACCAGCCCACTACGACGTTTCTAGATTGGATGGATATGAATCAGACCGGGCAGACGACGAAGAAAGTGGAAGACCAGAATGTATGGGAGATTCTGGAATACGACTTTGAACACAATCAATAGAGACGGCTGAGCATCATCATACCTTTACAATTAAATCGGATGGACATTGCACAGAAAGTCAAAGCTGGAATGATAGAGAATAAAAAAAAAGTTATTACACACTTCCACAAAAGAGACATATAATCCAAACTCTGAAATTCGCATTTGCGCGCAAAATCAATTTCGTCGTCAATTATTACTAAACCAACAACCACGGAGTTATTTTCGGCAACGTTTAGGGCATATTACAAGTCGGACGTATAAAATACACTTAATGATTATCTTATGATGCCGCTAGAAAATTGTGAAGCGTTAGATTATTGGAGAGTACGGGCGACGGATTCACGCTACTGCAAACTGGCAAATATGGCAAAAAATTACCTTGTCGCTCAAGCGACGAGCGTGCCGAGTGAACGTATATTTTCGATTGCAAAGCATGCTGTGCGTAATCGTTTAGCCGAGAAAAAAATGCGTGCTGGTTTGTGTTGAAATCCTGGTACGAATCGGGGTTGCTTGATGAGAGTGTGTAAACTTGATACAACCAAATGAACGAAGGAAGGTGGCGAAACCAGGTTTCATCTTCATGGCTTTTGTTTACTGCCAGTGATAACTAAATCAATATTACATTTTTATTTTGTCCTTGGTAATAGAATTATACTGTTTGTGATATAATCCTTCTTTGCTTGGCAATTAAGTATATCATGACGCAATTTTTTTGGAAATAAATCATCAAATAGAAGAGCCTGTTCAAGAGACATATTGAAAAGTTTTATGTGGGAGCAAAACCAGACAAAGTGAACATTCTGTCATGTGATGTAAATGAGGGGTAATTTTATGATAAAGTTGTAAATTGACCAGTGTGACAGATGGCATTTTGAAAGTAATAATGGTGCTTATTCACAACTTCTAAACCATAACAGGATTAATATAGGATTACCTCTATGTATAAAAATACTAATATGAAACTAATTTACATTAATTCCACTATGGAACCAAAGAATTACAGCACCATTAGAAGCATTTAAAGAAAGCTCAAGGTGAAAAAATTGCTCTCTATGTTTTTAAATTAATGATACCCAAACTCTCCAGGAGTATCTAGATCAAGAAAAAGCTACTTGGAAAATCATAACTAATAAACGATCATTAACATCAGAAACGAAAATTTGAAGAAAGACAATTTACATAAAAACCTTCTCTACTGATCAAGCAACCTATCAAATTTCTTATTGTAGATGTCAATGACCTTTTGTTAAACGCCATTTGGTTAAATGAAAATCTTGGATCCAATTTAATTTTTTTGTCATATAATTGGATTAAGCTGAGAACGAAGCCAATAAATACTCCAAAAAAGAATTCGCTTGTGAATGTAAGCATTTTTCGTAGTGTTGTTGATGTAAATTGACAGATTTATTTTGTTGTTTTAATGATGTATTGATATTTATTGCGTTGTGATTAATTCTGAAGTTAACCAGTGCTATTTTTATAATAAATATCCGCTTGTTCATAGTATTGTAAAAGAAATAGAGGGTCTATACACCATTTATCAAAAAGATGATTACATTGATGTACAAAACCGAAGAAGAGTGAATTTTTTGCGTATTGAAGGGTTTAAATGGCTGGTACCAATAGATGGGTTATGACGAACGGTTGTTCGTGAACTGAGAGGAGGATTACATAAGTCGTAATGATTTTAACGTACGTTTATATCTCACCAATTGATCATTAAGCTAATCGATACTTTTTGCCGGATGAGCGTATATATCAACCTACCTGTATGCTGCCATATCCGTCAAAGGGCATGACTTCTCTAATCTCTTTCTCCATAGTTGCTGATTCAGAGATATCTAGATAAAACGCGTATCATTGTTATTATTCGCATATCTTGACAGACTTCTTCCACGGACACTAACTCTGTCTATAATCTACAAGATAATCCATGATGGCTCTAAAAGGTCACTGTGAGAATGGTCTTCAACTTCAACAGGAGCTCAGGATCAATGGCAATGACAGTGAGGCATCTTCACCAGACTCTGCTTCTTCTTCGAGCCTGACCAATCTTCAATCGATCTCTCTAGTCTGGTATAACATGTTGGTAACATCTTCTCAAGCCTAGGGTCATGATTATCTGCCTTTGCTGTTCGGCCAGGCTATCGAGCATCAAGCGATCTCGATACATGCTAATTGAATAGCGAGAAGGGTAAACTTTTCCTCGTTTCTGATTTGCTCGTCTGGCCGTTTGTCGGAGGATGATTTCGTTGACGGAGGTGAAAACAACCATTCTGCGTCAAAGTGATGTAAAAGAATACTCGTAAGCATAAGCGACTGGTCTCGCTGTTCGGGTCCGACAAATTGAAAAGAGCAATTAATATCGGTTAATAAAAAGACTATTTAGATACATCATTTCATTAAACCGAGTCATGCTTACCCAAATAGCTACTTTGAATGTCCCGCAAGCCTGGTCGAAGATCCTCTATTCATTGTTGGAATTTGACTGTGTCTTTTTCGAAGTTCCCGGGTTAACTTCGTGTGATAAAATTAAGCAAGTAATTTATCATGCCAGAGACGAAGTAATTGCGCGAATTACCTTATCATCGAAATATGAGAACGTGTCCACAACTTGTTCAACAAATCAATCTTCAACTGATACTGGTATGTTCTGAAGAGTCTCTGGCAGTATTTCGTTAAACAAATCATTTGATGAAATCAGATCCGAGTTGGCATTGGTTGCGAGATGTGCCAATGCTTGCATCCCGATACACTGGACAGTTTGAAACGCTAGTCTCTTGGTTTCGGCTACGAATGGAAAAAAGAGTTATATATTGATGGAATATATACGGTATACCAGAGATAAATAGACTTGCCCATCTTTAACGTATTCAGAATAGTATTAATGACTTCTACATCAGTCAGCTGAACTAGACCCTTTTCTGCGGAAGACAATCTTATGAAAATTTTGAATATATCTTGAGACCTCTCCTCACTATGGTCGAGAAAGAAGCGCGAGTGTGAATAGCCGTTTTAATCAACGATGCGCGTTGAGCGGAATACCTAATACCAACTGATTTAGCCAATGAAGGAACTCAGTTTACAAGTTGCTTCTTTTCCAGCAAGTCATCATGCATGCAGAAGCAACTCGAGATATTGACCGTTATGGATATTAGAGTTTCATCTTACATATCCGGATCCGAGCTTTCTTATTTCTGTAAGAATTGAATTGGTCAATGTTATAGAGACAGTGAAAAGCGATCACATTGGAGATCTTCAACACGTTACTTGTTCTTAATAGCCTTTCGACGAAATTGAATTCCATTGCTTCAAACACCGTCCGGTTCCAAAAGTCTGGAAAGTAACGTACGTGCAACAAATTTCTGCAAGACGGCGCAAGCAAATCAAGTATACGTGGGTGGTAAGTTGTTGTTCAGGATGAGAATGTAATAGTAATAGATCAATTATTGCAGTTCTGTGTCAGTTATGCCACAAAAATTTAGTAACCCCGTGATTTCCGAACAACCAAGCGTAGTACTAAATGCATCATAGTAATAGTCGTTTTCATTGGGTAGTTAATAGGACTATTATTATTACAGTCCCGCTAAGAGAAATAGTTCACTACGTTACGCTATTTCTGAATTCATTCTCTTTCTACTTCAACCATCTTTATTCCCATATAATTTAATATACCTATTTTATTTTATCTGTTCTCAATCTAATCAAAATATGACATTTATAAATTTCCCTGTTACTATATGTACTATATCAGTGACATACATTATCTATTGTCACTGCTGATGCACTATATACTATATAAAAACTACAAAAAACCGAATTGTACAAATCACGAATATAAATACTGTTTATACCAAAAGATGGCTGTAATTTATGCCAGTTATTTAATAATAAAGCCCCGATGACTAAATATCAACAGAAAACACTTCCCAATCAACCCACGTAAATGTATCACTGGTAGATCTGATTGGAATTTGATAACAATCCGATTTACTATTACCATGAGGGCCATAAAAAATTCCTTCAGTATCATCTGAATATCTACCAAATACCAAGTCGTCACCAAAAGCAGGCAAACATTTTGAGTCATTATAAATAGCATGCTTATATCCATACTCTCGTTTTTTAATAAAACTTATTATGTTCTTCTCAACATTCTTATCCAGTGAGAATATAAAACTTTTTCTAGTTGAAGCCCATCCACGTTTGTCACTCCATGATAATGGATTATATCCACCAAGTATTTCTTCTGTATCCTGTACTCTTCCCACAGCAATCGTTGGTCCCTTGTCTGCACACATTCGCCAAAAATTCTTTGTTTTTGGTCTACTCCTTTGTTTAAACATTAGCTGAAATGGTTTCCCTTTATTATTATTATTATTATTATCCCAGCCATCCCTGCTTTCTCGATAAAGTAAGGTCATTTTATAAGAGATAGTCTGCCTACTAGTACTAGTTCCATCTTGTTCAGCTTTTTCTAATTGCGTTGATTCTGCGATTTTCTGTAGGATCCATGATGCCTGATGCCTGCTAATTACGACTGAATCAATATCAGGTAGTTGTCTTTGTCTGTATGGTAACACTCGCATTTTTGGCTTATAATTTTTATGCAGATGATAAGAAAGTAAATCAGATCGTAACTCCCTTGGTAATACTTCAATGTATGGGATAACACATTCACTGAGTTCTTCAGAAGGAATGTTAAAAAATCTTACATAAGGCACAAATTCAGCCATTATGTCCTTGACGGCATTAACATCATCAGATGACCAATGGGATGGATTGTCTGAAAGTCCAGAGATTTGGTTAATGGCCCATTGCACAACTGACATCCAAACATCACCCTCATTCATGTTAAGTTCATCATTCTTGAGAAGATTAATAAAGGTCGCTTTTGTTAAATCCATTATCTTGTTAGACTTGAGAATGATATCCGGAGATGATAACATAAGCTGATTGCAATAATCTTCGAGTTTCTGTAGTGAGTCAGTGGACAACGCATAGTTATGAACCGTGAGAACGTTTTGTTTTATCCATTCCTCGTGTCGCTTTATCAACTGGTCCCCAATCGCAGTGCAGAAACTGCTTAGCCCGAGTTTATTAGCTCCTTCCAAAAGAACAATCCAGGATATATTCTCGCAAGATTGAGAAGATACTTTTCCTGTGTAAATAAATCTGGAAATGGAGACAATATAAATAGCTGTGAGCATTAATATACATAAAAAATATAACAAATGGTTCTAATAGCAATACAAAATAGTAATTGTACGTTCTGCTACAACTAATTGCGTCAATTGTGAATTAAAAGTTTACCTAAGCAAAATTTCAAAAATGCCGGGTGTCATGTCTTCAAAGACCATAGCAGTTTGTTGACCCTCCTCTGTATTGCTGGTAAGTTTGTCTTCAAAATATGCGCTTCTTGTACATAGGACCAAGGAATGAGCGAAAAATATCTTATTGCTTGGCTCTCGACCGACATGAATTGAGATATCGGTATATTTTCCGCTTTCATAAAGCTTTTCATAATCAGACGAAACACCAGAAACTAACTCAATAATGTTATTCATTTTCAAGTATATCAAGTTTAGCGAGAAGATAATCGGTGGCCGTTGTAATGTTTAAATAATTCGGGACGCTTTTTTCGATATTTATAGTAATACGCCATATTCTGCATCACCGTCAATCATAGTGGACTAATTTGGTTACATAAAAAAAAAGTCGGAATTATTATAACCCGTGTAGCAAATAGAAATCAGAGCTCGTCACGGTCGTACAGTAAATGACAAGAAAAGAAGGTGCCAAGACATAACTGTCATTCATTCGCCTAGGGCAAAATAGTTTCAGTCTGTTAACGTCGAATTGTGGATAATAATGGATAAAAACTTTATGGATTTTGTGTGGGAAATGATATACGTCATTATGCATAAATTTATTGGTGCTTGGTTTATACAGGTAAGTTTGTATAACTGTAAGTTTGGATTTGTTGATCAACTTGTCTACATGTATAATAAAGTATTATAGCATGGAAGGAAAATTTTCAGATTTACTTTACTCCACATAGCAATAATATCATGGAATGGAAAGATAACGCAGCCTGTCACTTGTTTTTTCGTAAATTTTTATCATAATGATATTAAACGGCACACAGTTGACGTAATGATTGTTACGCTTTTACATTCGAACGATAATGTTACAATGTTTGATTATTCATTGAAAGGCAGGCATTATGTTACAGTATAGTCTGTCTCTAGTTTCTACGAAGAGAGCATATTATAATATTATAGTTTACGTGTGTTAACTTATTTTACTAGCAGATATAAAGTTGACGTATTAATTGGATATATTGTTTCACGCTATTATTATACACTAGTTGTGGTATGTAATTATTAAAGTGGAGAGTTTTTAATATACTTGAGGTATAAGCCTTCCAATAACTTTATTATACAATTGGGAGAGCAAACTGCAGCCGACATAACTCAGTTATTGTTGTCTTTACTACAGCGGTAGTTTAATTAAGACTGAAGTTGTACTACTAAGAGACTTTCTTATCATTTATGCGCGCTTCTTCTTACGCCCTATACGTAGTACTCTTTCGGCGTTCGTACAGTATCTCCAAATTAGAGAACCGTAGAATATGATAAAAACTATTATTATACTGCAGAGTCGACTATCTATTAAATTTAAAACAAGACAATACTTCGACTTGGTATTTTGTCTAAATAAGGAATGTCACGTGCCTATTCTAGATTAATTATCGGTTTCAATGATTAATTACAAACTCGTTTTTATTAAATATTAACTAGAATACCAGCTCCAACGAATTATGGCCTAATAATTGACTACACAATTTTAGTGGGTCGGGTGGGGTAGGTGTTAGCCGACAGGTAATTAATTATATCTAACGATGCATGGAAAATAAAAAAAGTTTGTGTAATTTCAAAGAGTCTTTTTTTTTATATAATTTTCTTACATAGAAAGTTGTGACTGTCCAATTTATTATTCCAAATTCGACATGAATATGGAACATGTTGTTTTAATAATGAGATATAGCTGCTGCTTATATATATTCCAGCTGTGCCTGATTTTTATGTCTGAATTTAAAAAACGCAATATCTAATTAACTATTAGCTAACTTGCGTGACTGAATTTGTGGGGGAAAAGTCTAACTGTACGGGCTTATTTGATTCTTTGGGAGAATATGATTTGCTCATACACGATACTTGACATTCCAACACGCACACATTAAGCTTCCACTATTGGTAATTTATACAATCTTAAGTTTAGTAATGT